CGCACAGGATTAGGCCAACGCGGCGCAAAAGTGAATTGGGAGATGCCTCTGTATGAAATATAAGACCAATTTTAAATATGGTTTTCATTGTATAATTATTTTCCTGAATAAAGTTTAAAGTTATGGTTGTGCGCTGTGACAGAAATATTTGCAGTTTCCCATTTGTTTGGAAAAACTGTGTTGTGCGCGGTCCTTTTCAGTCTTCTTTTCGATATGTTCAAGCCATTTTGAAACTGACACATTCCCGTTGCTATGTATCTGCTTTCGCTGACATAGATGCAGCTTGGTGGGTTTTGTAATGGGAAGTAATGCCTGCTCTTAGTTTAGATTAGCTAGTCAGGGAAGCCAGTTTCATCCGTTTCGATGGCAAATTGACACTTGTATTCCCATTATTTGTATTCACATGTATGCCTTCATTCCATTTATCGAAAAAGTCCAAGTTGGTAGAGCCGTAAACAGCTCTGCCAGTGGTTTTGTGGGCAGTTGCTAAAAATTGACTCGGTTGCGCAGTTTACACTCATTTCTGGATTCGGATTCTGGCTGCGAAGACTGTGGTGTCAGGTTTCCTGTCTAGTTAACGATGCAGGTACAGCGTTCGTGATTGCTAACTTCCCATCTGCGTCAATTCTCAGGCTGAGCATGATAATTCGTAGAACTCACTCCCGTAAATCCCACTCCGTTCCCAGTTCCTACCCCAAACGAAGTTCGACGTGTTTCCAGTCAGTAGCCTCGCTCTCTCTCATACGTCATGACTTTTTTTCCCTGAGCCATTAGCCCCTTCCTCATCCGCTCCCGGTCTTCTTTTGCTTCCAGTCTTTTATCCTCCCGTTCCTGCAGGGCCGAGCTTTAGCAGTTGCTTTATACTCGCTATTTTGTGGAAATCCATTTTTATGCGTTTTTGCATATATGCAAATTGCAAAAACGCATATTGGGAAGAGACTGTCTTTGTGTGTGTGTGTGTTGGCACTTTTTGTCACACACAAGCAGGGGGAGGGGATTAGTGGGGTAGGTTGGGTGGTTTGTTTGGCATGGATCCTTTTGCAGTTGTCTAAGTCACATAAGAGGGAGGGGGAGGGGTTGATGGGTGGGAGGAGGAGTCGTGCTGCTGATTTTTGCCGCGGGTATACGGCGCATGGAAAGTGCTCGGGAGAGGGTGAAGTGCAGTGGGCGCTGGAGGCAGGGAGGGGTGGGGAATAGCAGGGCAGGAGCGTATTTTTTGGATGTGGGATTCGAGGCAGGGAAAGAGGGTTGGAGTGAGTGGGTTAATTGGCTACTTGGCGTACATCCTTTAGCAGTTACCTAGGCCATGAAAGAGAGAGGGGAGGGGGTGATGGATCGAAAGGAGGGGGATGCGTTCTCCTGGTTTTTGCCGCAGATACCCGGGGTAGGGATAGGGCTGAAATATTGCTTGCTTCCAGAGTTCTCTTATAGTGGGGGTGGACAGAAACTCGGATCTTGCTTTGCAGGGAGGATTTCAGAACAAAGTAAACAGTTGGCCAACGGACGGGCTGCCTGTGTGAAGATGCGTCTTTTTCCCCGGTTCCCCGCAGTTTTTGTCGCTACCGGCACCAGTTTTTTCGGCAAATGCCTCTAGATAAACAAATTAAAATTGGCCGCCAGAACTGTTAGATAACACCCCCTTAAAATTTCAGCTTTCTTGCTTTCCAGGCTCCTGAGTTAGCAACTTATCCAAAAAAAACTTGGCGGGCCCTTATGTGATTACTACGCGTACCGGGAGTCTGGGTTTGAGCTCAATGAGACTTAGGTGAACGGGGAATATCCTCTTAAAATTACAGTCCTTTAGCTTTTCAAATTCCCGAGTTATGAACTTACCCGAAAAAAATTTTGGCGGGCCCGTACGCGGCTACCACGCTTACCCGGGGGATGGGTTTAAGTTCATTAACACCAACTTGAACGGGGAACATCCCCTTAAGATTTCAGCATTCTAGCTTCTCAGATCCCCGAGTTATGAACTTACCCGTAAGAAACTTTGATGGGCTCATACGTGGGTACCACGCGGGTAATGGCGCCCATTTTGGGGATTGGGCCCGTACGTGTATGTAGATTAAGTTCCCAAAGTTTCAGCCCTGTAGCTTTTGTAGGTCTTGAGATGAAAATGCATGACATACGCACACACAGGCACACAGATAACCCCTCGTCGATATGCGTTTTTGCATTGCATAGCTGCAAAAAACGCATAAAAAGAAGAGAAGGAAGCCCATAACAAAATACCGCTGCAGCCTCAGCTGTGCTCTCAACAGTTTCTTACCGCGATCTATTCCTTGTTATGCGTTTTTGCCGTGCAGTGCTAGGGCGCTGCAGTGGGCTACAAAAATGCATATTGCAATGGCGCTGTTAGTGTATGTATGCTTGTATGTGTGGGTGTGTGTTTGTATTTCAACTCCCTAACCACGCA